AAAAGTTTCAAGAACTACTCATTCCATCCTATAGACGAGTATCATTCCAACATTAAAGTTTTTAGTAATTATTGAATAATTTTTTAATTTGAAATTAATAAATTTGTAAAATAAAAATTGAAAAAATTGAAGAATTAAACAGGTAAAAATATACTTTTTAATAAGGGGAGATAATAAAATATAAATTTAATGTTAACGGGAGCGAGATAAATTAAATCTGGAAAAAAGTACTGGTATAAAACTTGTAGGCCATTATAAATGATTTGGTGTCTTTTTCTTAAGTAGAATATGAATAATTTTTTTCATTATATCATATATCACTTGGTCTCATCAGCTAATCATGTTATTTTTATATTATTTTGTGATTGCAATCACTAGCTCTATATATGTGTGCTTAGGTTAGAAGGCATTTTTGTCTCTCAACTGTTTGCCTAAAAGCATTTGATATCATAAATTTATTTTAACATTTGAAAATGGTGTACTTGACACCCTACCGTTGAAAAATTAACTCTGATTAATAGTTGACCAAAATTACAAAAAGAACCTAAAAAATTATAGAAAAAGATTCATAAATTTGCAAATAAGTGTCATGTATAAGAAAATTAATATCAATTAAGTCACTAAAATAAATGTTAGCTTTTTTATATGGGTAAGAAATAACATTTATATATGTATTTATATGTAACTTAGAAAACTTAATTTATGTTAACATTTTCCCAGTGTATTTATTTGCAATTTAATGGGCCATTTTCTGTAATTTTTTGTGTTCTTTTTTGTAATTTTTTGGTAAATTATTAGTTAAAGTTAACTTTTTAATGGCCATTTTTGAGTTAAGTTTAGGATGTCAAGTGCTCATAAATAATAGTTGAGGTGAAAAAATATTCTTTAACCCTAAATCCCATTGCCTAAACATATAATCTAATTCTAATTTAATTTTAATTTTTGAAATAATACAGATGTGTTCTACCAAAAAAGAAATAATATACATGTGTTGAAAAAAATATGAGAAATAATTTAAAAAAAAAAAAACGTAGCTCTAAACTTGCATTTACCAAACTCTAACAATAAGAAATTATTAAGAGTAACATATTTTGACCTTTCCCCTAATTTACATTAATCATATATCTTCCTTCTACTTGTAAAACTTATATGAAATCTCTTCTAAAATTACAAGTTACAAAACACAAGCCTTCCTTTTACATTTAAGATTTATTTTTATTCATTCAATCACTAGTTTAGGATTAAATCATTTATGTTAGATCAAAATATCCCGATTTAAACATAAATGTTATCCAAAAATAATTCAAGTTACTCAAAAAAATAATGCATATACTTTTTCTTACTTGTTTATTCATATTTTAATTTCTTTAGTTATGTAAATTTATTTATTTATTTTTAAAAAATTAAATACATAATTTGGCTAAAATAATATTTCAAACATAAATGTATGGAGAAAACTTAATAAAATAGGAATTTAATATAATAAAAGATAAATTAGTCAATATAATTAATATTTACCTTTCTCTTAATTTCATTAATTTTAACACAATATTTTTAAATTATTATTTAAATATAAAAATTAGATTACAAAGGTAAATTGATAATTTAAAATTTTCAACATGATTACTAATAAAAAAAAAGGAAGTATTCTAAATCTTTAACCAAATATTCTCAATGACATCAAAAACTGGATTAAAATGTAGAATTTGAAAATAGAGAATATGACTGTGTAATTTGGGTAAAATAAAAGGAAGGTCACTTTTTTAAAAAAAATTATAGAATATTATCAACTCTAGCATTTTTGGAAATAAGTATAAGTCTTACGCAAAAAAATTATGATTTGGGTGAAATTAAAAGAAGAAAAAGGTAAGAGAAAATTGTCGAGAATTCTTCATTTGTCCTAGAAGAACCAAAATCTCGTGTCCGTTATAAAGTTTAGGTAAAAATATATAAACTTAAAATGAACTTTTTTTTTTAGTCTTCGTAAAATATAAACTTTTAATTAAATTAAAAAAAATTCCTTTGAGGTGCGACCACACGGACAAGTTGGAAAAAAAAAAAAAGACCACACCGACAAGGATATAAGATTTATTTTTAAAAAAATAAGATTTTTTCAGGTAGAAATTATTGAATTTGAATGTATTGTTTAATTTTTAGAATTGTTAAATAAAAAATAAAAATTGAAGAAAAAGTTAAACAGTTAATGAACTAATCATATTGAAACATTTATGTAGAATAATTTTTTAGAACAAGTTTTGCAGACAAAATACACATTATCAAACAAGTAACCAAAAATTTTATCAAGATTTTATTTTTTTTCACAAGAGCCTTTACATTTTTTACTTTTCAGAACATGTATAAATTTTATTTTGTTTTTCTAAATAAAAATTATTATGAAAAGAAGAAACCAAACAAGCCATATTCTTTCTTTCTTTCTTTTTTCCCCGAAAAGCAAGCCATATTCTATGCTAAAAGGAAAGCAGGAAAACAGAAAACCTATAAGTTAAAGTTAATAAGAGAGATAAAATGTAGTTAAATTGTGTATGAATGATTAGGCACACTAGGAGCTAATAAGATTTAAAAGTTTCATTTTTCCATGTTGCAAATTAAATATCATGAATCAACAATATGAATGAAATGATGAAAAAATAAAAATCTTATTTTGGAGAAAAATATTTTTTAAAAAAAGGAATCATAATGATTCTTTTCGCCAATTGTGGAATCTTCAAGTTTCTCCAAAGATTAAATATTTTATTTGGAGAGTGTTAAATAGTACTTCAGCCACTAAAAAAGCTCTTCTCTACGAAAAAATGTATAAGTGATTCTACTTGTCCTGTTTGCTTTAATGAAGATGAATCTTTATAGCATCTTTCTTTGGCTGTTCTTAGGCTAGAGCATGCTAGTTTAACTATAGTTTGGGGTTTATAATGTCTGTTAATAGTGTTAATAATGTGACAGCCTAGTTTATGGAATTATTTTGTGAAAATAATAATATTGGTGCTAGGGAGAAAGCTTTGATTGCTAGTATATGTTGGGAAATTTGGAAATGCATATGTGCCTAGGTTTTCAAAAATGATAAAGTAGATCTTAGAAGGATTGTAAATAATGTTACTCGATTAGTAGATGAGTGTAGAAGCTTAAAGGTTCATGGAAAGCAAAAGAAACAGCGCAGGGAGAATGTACGAATTAATAAAATAAGGTGCTGGCAAAAACTTTTTACTGGTGAAGTAAAAATAAATGTTGATGGTTATTTTAAATTGTGCTGGTGTTGGAATTGTTTGTAGGATAATTTTGGACTTTTTTTAGCTGGTCTTGGCAAGGAGATGGCTGTTAATTCTCCTCTTATAGCTGAGTATATAACTATTTTGGAAGGTCTAAAGGCAGCTTATAAATTTGCAGGCAGAAAAGTTGTTATAGAGTTAGATTGTGAAGTGATGTTTAAAATGCTCACATGTTTGTTAAATTTCAATTATGACTGGCATTATTATGAGTTACTACAAGATATGTTATCCATTAAAGAATCAAGCAACGATGTTCGGTTCTCTTTGATAGCTCGCCAAGATAATGAAGCTACTAACTTTTTAGTAGCGATGAGCTATAGAAAGATATATCCTATTAGATGGCTTGTTAAAGCTTCATCTTCTTTATCTCGTTTATTGCTTACTAATTTGATGATTGATAATATTTTTGCTTCTATTAATTGTGGCATAAAGTGGGGGAAAAAAAACATCGGTTAAGTTGCCTTAATTTGCTTTCTTTGTGCTTTGCTAGATTTGTATTGTTTTTTCTTTTCTTTTATGAGTTGTGTTACGTTGTATTTGAAGGTTTTTTTAGTCCTTTTTTCACTTTGGCTATTAGTGATTGTAATATTTTTAGTGATTAATAAAATTGGTTATCTTTTTGGCTAAAAAAAGAAAGAAAGAAACATTAAATCCTCACTTTTTTATTTAAAAAAAAAGAAGGAAAACTTCATTAAATTCATTAATTTTTAATTTTAAAGGATGAAATTCATAAATTTATTAATTATCTAATTTTTTGAATGATTATTAGTTATCTGCTCTCTTTGATTTTTATTATAGGATATTTTTAACTATTTCAAGCATTTTAAGAAAAGTTAATTTTTTTTTCTAGATACCATAAAAAAGCAATATGTGCTTTCATTTATACTCTTAATTTTAAATAATAATACAATTACATTAAATACCTTTACGTTAATCAAGAAGAGGTAAAATTGAAAACAATGATTTAATTATTACAAGGTGTCATTCGACGTCTTATAAATAAGATCAGATAGAGTATTTTGAAACTCAATTTGTAACAATCATTGTTCATTATTAAATTAAAAAATTTAAATGTACATATCATGTTATTAAATTTTTAATATTTTTTAATTTATGAAATATTTCAATATATAAAACTACAATTTAGAAAAAAGTAATTAATGATCCAACTATTATTGACTTGAAAAATGCCAAAAAATCTATATATCTATATATAATTTACCTATAATATAAAATCTCTAAAAACCCTATTATTCCTGGCACATTTTAATATAAGCCTAGTTCTCTTGAAAGCTGAACGCAGATTAGAGTTTTGCGGCTTTTCTCCACTTATTTTTGCCCTCTAGTCTTCTATGTTTCGCTTCTATTAAACAATTTAAAAAAAAAATAAGTTGTAAATATTAATTAAAAAAATAGCAATAAAGAACCATTAAAAAAAATTTATATTAATAAAAAATTAATTATCAAAATTCGAACAAAAATCCAAATGAACTATTCCTAATTCATAATACATTGTTCTTAAAATTTAAATGATTATTTATTTACAAAAAAAAACCTAAATTAATAAATATTCATTTAAATTTTAATAAAAAATAATTTTTAATTAATATAAATTTCTTCTGACAGTCTTAATTGATGTTTTCCTTATTAATTAAGATAATTGCAGATTTAAGATTCAGCACCTTATTATTATTATTATTTTAGCATGTTGGAACCTAGTTCTCATTAGACCAATATTTTATAGGATTTAAATGTCATACAAAATATTGACTCCAAAAATATTGGTTGAGTGGAGTGCAAGAAACCGAATCACGTCCCAAACTGGAATTTTATTTGCCATGCCATGTCCACTTCTATTCTGTATTCTCTCGGAGGGCTTGTGAGAACAGTCAAACCTCCCCTGTCCCATCCCGCGTGAGATTTGAGGATTTCCCTCGCTGGCCAATCTCTTCGCATAAGCCCCTTTACTTCATGTGCATAAAGCCAACCTCCTCAGTTCAGGGAAACACAGCAGGGACGATTGAACCGACAGCCAGATTACAAACGAAGAACAAAGAAAGGGGTCTGCAAATAACAACTCAGACATGAATGGAAGTCAAATTGTTCAACTAAACTCGACATGTTCGGCAGGTGGATTTTGTTGCATCAGAACTTCTTGATGAAGTTGTAAATGTGAGTGCTAATGTCCCCTGCTGCTTCCTGGTTGTTGAAGTGGCCTACTCCTTTCTGCACCTCCACTTCCTCCAAATTTGGCACATCTTTCTTGAAACGACCACTCTCTATGTACTCACGTATTCCTGGCGAGGTGTACACCATGTCTTGCTCACCTGTTATGAACTTCACGGGAACTTTCACCTGCACCCCAGTCCATGCTGCTGCCAATTCCCAATTTCTGCAATACCAAAACATTGCTCATGATGATCAGGAAACATCTTTTCCATAATTTTCAGTGTTTTTGTAGAGTGTTGTTAAAACATAACCTCAGCACAATTGGAAGGCAGGGGGTAAATAAAGAATAGAACATACAGATCGAGATTTCTGTAGTAGTTCAGCCCTCCAGTGAAACCAGATTTCTCAAACTTCGAAGCACAAAAACGCAGGTCTTCTTCCGAGAGCCAGGAGGGTAAGGCCCGTGTGGTATTTGCATTGTGTCCAAACCCTTCTTTTGGAATGATTGGAGGACCGACACTTCGTGTTGTGAGAACATGCTTCAGTACTTGTTCGCAACCTATTTTGGCCATATCAGCTTCTGCCTTCCCTGGCTCCTGTCACAATCAAACCACAGTATAGCACACGTCATCCACAACCTACCATTGCATTGCCAGGAACTCGTGATGTCATCTTTTATCGAACATATTATTTATATAATTGAAACATGGGGAAAGTCTACGCAATCTATGCAAATTGATGGATTATAAATATAATCGCCACAAATAAAGAAATTATGGTACTGATAATTATGGAGTGTAACCACATGCACCATAGCAGAGCCATCGACATTTCCGTTTATGCTCATTATTGTGATGTGATTTAAAAGGGAGAACACATCATTCAGAGTCTATGCCGGCTAAAAAATTTCAAAATACTCTTTATATTTAGTTCTCCGGTTTCTTCTGACCTAACCAAAACCCCTCAAAAATGTCCAGAGATGTGTGGACACGATGATAAACTGGATCATCTGCCATCAGACTTCAGATAACATGCGCTCTCAAACCAAGTTAACATGAAAGAATGAAACCAGCACTGAACAGGCTCACTCCAATTCCATCAATGCTGGCCCGGTTAGAATGATTTCTTTCTTTCTTTCTTTCTTTCTTTCTTCTTCTTTGTTTTTTGTTTTTTTAAAAAACAACCACGGAAATATATGGTGATCAACCATAATAACAAGCATACAACAAACCACAAGAATAAAAAAACAAAAACAAAAACAGAGCAAAAAGAAACTCAATCGTGTTCTCTAAAATCCCCCAAAAAGTAAATTCAGAATTCACAAGAATCTTAAAAAGGAAAAGGATTGATTTGGTTGGAGATATGGAATTTTTGCTGCCATAGCAAGTAACATAAATTAGGAATTAGGGAAGCATTTTGTAGATCAGGTGAAAAGTAGAAGAACCTGGAATCTGCAGATATAGTAATCCTCCCCATAGACAGCTCGGAAGCCATCAATCGGCTTGACTCGAGGATTTCTAGGCATGAATGGCACACTAAGGCAGACATAGGCCTTGACTCTATCAGGACGAAACATACAGAGGTACCAACCAATGATGGCTCCCCAATCATGAGCCACGAGGAAGACTTGATCAACGCCCAAAGAGTCTATGAGGGCGACGATGTCACCAACGAGATGAAAGCAAGTGTAGCTGTTGATTGAAGTTGGGGCTTCGGTGTCACCGTAGCCACGGAGATCTGGAGCAATGGCTCGGTAGCCAAGGGAGCTGAGAGCCAGAATCTGGTGGTGCCAGGAGTACCAGAGGTCAGGGAAGCCATGGAGGAACAGCACCACAGGGCCTTCTCCTTTCTCTGCAACGTGCATTTTGATGCCATTCACTTCCACTGTTCTGTGCACAATTCCTTCCATCTTGATTTTCTGCAATCAAAAGTGAGGGATTTTGAGCTGAAAGAGCGAGGGGCGAGAGCTGAACGAAACCCTGTGTACATAGTAACAGCTTTTTTCTGGATAAGTATGATATTAATTAAAAAAGAAGGAACCAGTGTTCTGTATAAATTACCTTTTTAATTCATTTTCAAACATGTAAGAAAATAATTATTGCTGAGATAAAATTTTCTATTGTCAATATCAAACTCCCATGATCCTTTTAAAATATCAATCCTTTTCAAAATCACCTTTCATAATTTCCTTAAAAAAAATCCATGCATGATTTCATCAACTAAAAATCATTTTAAAAGAATGAACAAATTTTCTTTTCCCAACAAAACTAATCATATTTTACATTCAAGAACTTCTTCCACCTTTTCCATGCATGAATCATAATGTTTAATCATCCGTTAAGTCATAAAATCAATCATCAGCAGCGTATTAAATAGACAAGAATGTTCAATCATAGGATAATTCCAGCTCTTCCTCTAAAAACTAATTAGTATATATATTCAAACTCGTTCCAATCACAATAACCTATATTAAAAATAAAATTATACCATTATACATATGAATATGCCTAAACAATATTTGATAAAAAGGAATTTGCGTACAATTTAATTGAGATGCCATTCATTTACTTGAGATATTCCCAAATACATATCTTAAGAAAAAGAACCTTTGATGTGTTCCAAAATTCATGTCTCAATGTAGCCTAACCTTTACTTATCAACATTCCACAAAGCCAAACCAATATAAAACTCCTCCATTCCCATTCACAAATCACCAACTAAGAAAGCCAACAAAATAATAATAATAAAAAAAAAACGTTGGGCAGAGGCTTTACTAAATATTAAGCATTAAACCCATTTATCACATAGAACAAACCACATCACAAATTCCAGTACCAAAAGCTTGATTAGATCCCACTTAAAGCTAAACCAACAATGGACAAGGGCAACAGCAAAAAGCAGTCAAATTTCAAATCATAATTTGCAATTCCATGTTCAAATGTGTAAATTACTTACTAGATCAAATAGATATATAGACAGAACAGAAATAATCAATTTCAAGAGCAACCATACAATAACCATCCTACTCTTTAAATATCACTCCCAAAAATTTTCCAATCATCAACCTTTAAATTTGATATGCTTTACAATTCACTTCTTTATAAAAAGCAATTAAATCCTTAAAAAAAAATCTAAATCAATTTCCTTCCTTTGGTAACCAAATTGCTTAAGACATCGTTACTTAACTAGAGTGAATTTCCAAGCTTTCAATTTAAGTTTGTTTGAGAAGCAATCCCTCCTTCATATGCACAACAGATTCAGAAGAAAATAAACAGAAATTCCAGCAGCAACCCAGATTCACAAAACTCACTCAAAACTGACGCAAGGAAGAGAAGATAAGGCAACTAAATCCCCCCAATCTGTCATGCTTCCATCACACGAAGTTTCAGAAAAAAAAAAGAAAAAGAAAACTTCATGCAAAACTGATCTAACAAAGCTGTAATTAAAATGAAAATTCCTCTTTCAGTCACCAAAACAACCCGCACATATGAAAGAAGAGAAAGAATAACACTTCTATAAACCCATACCAGCATCGACAACTGACAATGGCAGATAGCAAGACCAAGGAAAGGTGAACAGCGCTGCAACAAGGAGGGAGGAGGAGGAGGAGAGGGTGCGTCGCAAGCACAAAGAAGGAAGAGTGGTTGCGGCACTTGAAGCAGGGGTGATGAAGAAGAGGCCTGATTGCGGCACGTCCACAGCAACGCATGAACAAGGGAGGAAGGGAAAGAACTCAGACGCTCCCGCGGTGGCCGGCGATATTGCAGTGGTGGAGGACAACGGTGGACTGACAGAGATCGAAGGGCAAAGGATAAGGGTTTTCAGAATTCTTTCCCCCTGCCGTATAGATCGCTGCCCTCAAATAGAGAGAGGGGAGGGAATAAAAAAACTCTGATTGATGATGAGGGCATAATGGTAATTTTAAAAAGGTTAAATGAAAAATAAAACTCATTTCCTGTTGCAGATGGATTCGAACTCAGGATTTCCAGATTCATAACCTACGGATATCCACTAAGCTACCTCTTGACCGTGTTTATTTCGCTCCACTCTGTACACTCATAAAATTAATATATCTTCTCACCAACTGTAGTTTAACTTTTTTGGGGGATATTACATTCTGTTTCTCCATTTTAAATGCCAAATACGAATGAAAAGAAAGTGGGAGAAAATCTAGTATTATACATCTTTTATCTTAAATTATAAAATACTTTTAAATAAAATCTCACGTATCAATAAATTTATTAAATATACTTAATAATTTTATTTTTTAAAATAAAAATATAAAATTTTTAAAATATTATTCATTTAATACCCTTAAATTTACACTTAATTAGTATTAAATATAGAGAAAGAAAAAATAATATTGGAATAAGCTTATTTAATAAAACTTTAATTTTTTCAAAATGTTTTATATTTTAAAACAGTAAATCTCTCATAAAAGTGTCTAATAATTTGGGAAGGAGGAAGTGTGTTTTAAGAGGGGTATTTTGGTAATTTTATGGTGTGAAAAAAATAAAACTTCTCCAATTAGGAGGATTTGAGCGCAGAACCTAGAGAATAACAAGGTAGTAGATAGCAAATCTTTCATTCCAGCGGACCACTGTTGTTTCTTGGTACACTTATTCCACAACTTATAAAATAACATCAAAACTTGCTCCCCCCCCCCCCCCCCCCCCCCCCGGGGGGGCATATTACGCTCTGTCCCTCCACTTTAAACGCCACATACGAATGAAAAGAAAGTGGGAGAAAATCTAGTGTTATATTTTTAAGAGAGGTATTTTGGTAATTTCATTACTAAAAAAAATTCTCCAATCAGACTAGGAGGATTTGAATGCGGAACGTAGGGAATAACTAGAAAGCAATCTTTCTTTCCACTAGATAGAGTCGGGAATAAAGGCCGGGTCTGGAAGCTCTGTTTAAATAAGGGTTTGAACTTTAACAATAGATTTTTTTTAAATAATCGGGCTTGAGAGCTTGGCCCTGATAAGCCCTATAAAAAAGAGCTCGGGCTCGGGTAGCCCTTCAAGCCCTGCCATACTATTATTATTATTATTTTTTGGTGGAACATATGTTTGAAGCCAATAATCTGCTCATTTGATCCTACACGCATTATATTATTATTAATTTTAATTTATTTTAAAATTAATTTAATAAATATCAGTGTATTTATAAAATTCCTGATATTTTTTTATTTTTCTATAATTATTATGTTTGTATATTTATACAAAATGAATTGTTTTTTAACTAAGATTTAAATTTTATTACTACACTTCTAAATGTGTGTTGTTTAATTTTTAAAAAATTATGAGAATTTTATTTTTTTAATTTCAGAATATTTTAATTAATTATAATATTTAATTTTATTTTTATTTTTTTTATTTTTTTTGAAAAGGGCTTGCGAGCCTGGCCCTGAGCCCTTCACATAAGGGTCAAACTTGAGAAATGGGGTTCAAAATAGAGAATTAGGCTTTAGGGCTCAGGCCCTCCCAACTCTACCACTGGACCACTAATTTTTCTTCTTACATTTATTCCACAATTTATAAAATAACATCAAAACTTGCTATTGGTTAATTAATTTAAATTTGTTATGTAATTTGTTTTGTAATTTTTAATTTTTTTAGGATCATTACATCACAACTAGATTTGCACTTTTATTTACTGAGGTGAAATGTCACATGTCATTTTCAATCAAAATTGTGTGTGCCACACATTAGAAGTTAAAGTTCGTCAAACAAAATTAACGAAGGCTGCTGAGTGTTTCATTTTTGAAAGTTGAGAATTTATTTTATACCACTTTATAATATAAATTACTCAATATTTTTGAAAAAATAGTTGAGAGTCAAATTTGTATCTTTACCCATGAAAATAAAACTTTGGGACTATGAAGTGAAAGAAGATTTTGATTCTTTATTAGTATTTAAAAAGGCATAATGATAAAAGCTTGTGAAAATCCTAGGAGACTCTGAGGAAATCTCTAAAACCCAATTTAAAAATCTTGAAAGTCATGGTTGAGATTGACTTAATCAAATGCTACCTTGTGTTCATTTTTTAGTTTAAAAAAATTAGAAGCTAAATCATTTGGGCAAAATAAAGTGCCAAGAATGAGTTTAGATATAAATAAATAAAGGTCAAGTGACATGGGCAAAAGATGTAAATAAATATTGAAAATTAATATCCTATTTTTTTTTTGTACATACAAAATTAAAAGACACCTAACAGTTCCTACACTAGAGTCTTTCAGTAGCATCAACAAAGTCTTGAAAGAGACAATATCCATGAGAGATGACAACTAATAATCTTAGAAGACATTAATTATAACTAGGGATTCCAAATTATTAAAATGCCAATAATGAACCATGATTATTATTTGAAATTAAAAACATATATGAGTTTATAAAATTATCGTTGAGTCTCACTTAAAAAATCAAGAAAAGACACTTTAAAATTATTATTATGAATAGGAACTATTGTTCATCATAGTTGGAAAAACCAAAATCCACACTTGAAAATGGGTTGTTTCACAATAAGAAATTAAAATTTACTTGTGAAACTTTCAAAACGCACTTATGAATATACAATAATCACTTAAAAATTTACTGAAATCACTTTTAAAGATGAACACAATCACTTGTGCAAACCATTTGCAAAATCAAGAAAAAAAACACTGCTGAAAGGGTTGGGTGTAACATCCAAAACTTTAAATCTAGAATAAATTTTTAACTAAGGGATAAATTAGTTAAGAAATAATTAATTAATTTAATTATATTTTTGGGTTACTAATTGACTTCTGGAGTTATATTTGGCTCTAAATTGAGTTAGAATGGAAATTAGATTGAACTGGGTGGCATCAAGGGGAACAAAAGTGACTTTTTGCTTATTATGTCGTGAGTCATGGCTTGTGTAGCATGCGCTGTGGTGCACAGCACAACCAAACAAGTTTAAATTTCAAAAATCAGCAGAAAAAGTCAGTTTTGGTAAGGGAAAGCCTAGAACTCAAAAGAGAAAGATTTGGGCACTACTAGAGCTTCAATTTAAGAGGATTTTGAAGTTAAATTAAGTCTTCAAACTTTTGAGTAAATTTTTCATCTTTCTTTTTTACCTCTACATCTCATTTTTCATTAGATTTGTGAAGTGAGTAAATTTGCTCTGAATGAATTGAGCTATAAGTTTATATTTTAAATGTAACACACCAATTTTTTTAAAAAAATAACTTAACTCAACCATAGTTAGGTTACAGCCACCCAACACATTTTTATATCAATAATTTTAATATAAAATATTTTATAATTGACTTCAACTCACACAATATAACATTTTAGATAAATTTTTACTTCCCACATACCATTAGGCTAAATCACATTTGTCCATCCTTATACTCCCAACAAGTAAACTAAATCACATTTGTCCATCCTTATACTCTCAACAAGTAAAATAAGTAATTTAGTCAATTTTCAACACAAGCCAGTAATTTGGTCTTATAATCATGCCATTTTAACCAATCCAAAGTAAACCAAATATTAAAATTACAGTCATCCAAATTGTACCAAAAATAGAAATAGTTTGAAAGGCATGATTACATTTATATATTCATATAATTGACAATAAACAAAAAGCCCTAATATTGACAATATAAAACATTATAAATCATAAATCAAATACCTAAAAGAGATAGTGGATCTATGCCACTAAGCCTCTGGGACTCCTCCACGTGTCACTCGTGACTTTTCTCTTAAAATTGTTAACCACATAATGAGACTCAAAAGTCCCAGTAACCATAGCCAATTTATGATAGTATATACAAACAGTTAAGTGTGTGCTTATTAAGTGAGAATTAAAAATAATATAACTCCAACAAATATAAGAAATATTACAATACATACAAATAACCATCCTTATATCCCTCCATTAACCTTGAGCCGTAGCCCTCACTCGGTGCTAAATTACCCGGCCAAAGGTAGATTAGCCAGCCCTTACAAGCCATTTATTGAGCTCCAATAGGGGCGTGCCACGTGGTATATAAATACAACAACAATAGCAAGTCTCCCAACACCTTCCACAATAATCAAACAAATTCATAATAATATTGCACAACATACAATATTAAAAAAAATTCATAATTTTCTCAATAATCACCCAATTAACATGAAGTAAACTAATCATAAATTAAAAGCATGGTTACCTTGTGGCTTTTTTAATAAATTATTCCTTATAATTTCTCTCCCACCACAATCTTCACCAATAATACAATCTACAAATAACATATTATTTATAAATATTAGTTTCAATTTTTGAAACTAATAAAATAATTCTAATAATAGAATAAAAAATATAACATAATTCCTAATCTCAATCTTAATACAAATCTAGAGTCAACACTATTAGGTAAAATTTTTAACTCCTCTTTTAATTATCAATAAACATTAATAATCTAAAAATCAGCTTCTAAATTAATTTCTATTATCAAAATTTTCTTTTTATTTCATAAATTCGTACCTAAAATACTCAAAAATTAAAAATTGAGTCTCTAGCTTAGAATCATAATCCTATAGCCATAATAATTCATTTCGCATCCCAAATAATCATCTAAACATCAATAAATCAACATATATTTTCAGATTTAGTTTAGAATTTGATCTATAAGCCACAAATTCAAAGATCATCAACAAATTTATACTCTAGAACATTTATTATACTACTAACAACCTCGAAAACCATATTTATTCAACATAAATTCATCCCTCTTTCAAATTCTAAATTTTCTACCACCATAAAATCAGAAACCAAAGAAAAAGATGACTAAGAAAAATTTTTAGAACACTTACTTAGTCTTGAAAAGCTTAAAATCACACCCTA